GGTTAGGATGTAGTTCAGTGCTAGAGTGCTTGGCTAGCATGCACAGGCCCCAGGTTCAATCCTTAGTATTACAAAACATGAAGAGTCTGACTGGCTTGAAATTACTGCTTTTCTTATAATGTGTTCATGCAGCTCAGAGTGAAGGCCCTGAGTTCAATCTGCAGAAAGAGTGAAAGAAAAAAGGGAAGAAGGAAGGAAGGAAGGAAGGAAGAAGGAAAGAAGAAAGGAAGAAAGGAAGGAAGGAAGAAGGAAGGAAGGAAGGAAAAAAGAAGGAAAGAAGGAAGGAAGCTTATAGATGGATTGATTGCCTCACAGTTATTGCTAATTGACAAAAAAAATATAAAATGAACTTTACTTTCCAACCACTTATTTGGACCTGAAAAGAAAATATTTAAATGGAAAGATAAATATTTGCTCATCCATATGAGTTAGGCTCCATTATATTTTTGCTTTTAGAGGAAAAGAAGGAATATATCGCCGGGTTTCTCCAGGCCCCGCTGTATGTTTCGGTGGCAGTACTATCTAAGACTCTAAGCCCCAGAAGGCAATGATTGTGTTAAGGTTTTTGCAGTGTCTGGACAATGGTATGTATACTGCATAATACATAAACACTATTTGTAATTATAATAAGACTGAGCTCTGGAAGAGGTAAACAAGGGTATAAAATTCATCTTCTGTATGGTTATTATTCCATTTATATGAGAAGTCCACTAAATTCACTGAACCATAGCAGGCCACATCTGTTTGAAAACCTACCAGTTTTTATGAACACTAAATAAAAATGGTTAGATTTAATGATCATTGATCATATTCATGCAAAAATAATGAAATGGAAGCACAGCAAAGAGGAGGCCATTGATAAAGAAAAAAGTTTTAAATGCCAATAAATTTGACATATTATTTTTTTATGCTTGAAAACTAAAATATCTGCTCTTTTCACTTCAGAACTCTCCATAATTAGAGAGCATGTTTGTGTCAGAGTTGTTTTCTCTCTTGCCTGAGTATAAACCTAAGTAATACAGATTATCGGAAATATTCATACTTAAACTTTCCCCACAAAAGTTAGGTAACTTTAAGGGGAACTGCTTAGATAAAAATCTTCACCACAGGAAAAACAGTGAAACCCTTAAACAGGACGAAGACAAAGCCGAGGCTAGGGAAAGGGGAGATGGCAGGAGAATAAAAAAAAGTTCTCTTAGCTATATTTTATAGGTAAAGTGGATTCTACTTGGATTAGCCCTTCTAAGTTACTATGACAGAGGGTAAAGGGAGGTGGAAAGGAAACTTTGAGTGACATTCTTGACAGCAAGCTACAGAAATAACAATCTGACAGAAGAGGCCATCATAAATATAAGATCATCTCAGGCATGAATAGGATTGCCCTTCGTGTAAAAACTACAGAGCACATGTAAGATTCAATTTAGGGTGAAGAGAAGAGCTGGTGCGAAGGTTACCTAGAAGCAAGCTACTCGTGCCAAGGTCAAGGAGCCCTGGTTTTCAGCTTAAATTCTCCTGTTGGGCATTTTTGAAGCATCTTGCTCAGCTTTTCTTATTTCTACATTTCTAGCTTGATTGAGCTGAGTTATAACCAATAAATAGAGAAGGTTGTATTTCTATTAATACACAGCTTGTTTTGTGCCAAAACTGAGATCTATGTATCCTGTAGGTAGAGGACAGACCTCACTTCTTACCCAGTCGATACTGAGATCGCGGATCAACAAATCTTCATATTGACAAACAGACCAGTCAATCCCTTATTACTATTTAATAAGAATTTCCTTGTCAGTGCACTGGAAGGAAAAACGTTTTAAAAAGTCTTCATACAGTGCTATAAGTACTGCTGTAATTCAAGGCAGAAAATGGGAAAGCACCATGTAATAAGAAAAACTGGCCTCAAATTGAGAGCTTTGGGGTCTTGTCAGAAGCTACAGCTAACTAGCTTTGTGAGTTCAACAGGTCAGCTGCTGCCATTACACTTCCAGTTCTTTGCCAGGGAGAAAGCGGTGTTAATCAAATGTTCCCCAAACCCACCTTTTAGCTTTGAAATCCCTGACAAGTAAGTATTCTATTTTTAATTTTCATTAGGTTAAGGATTTCCTAATCAACTGAAACAGGATGACTAACTCATAACATGGTCCAGAAAAACATGAAATGACATGTTAAGGAGCGTTTAAGTTGAACAAAATGGATGTATGTGTGTACCATTACTGATATACAAACGTTGAATATGTTTTACTATATCTACTGAATGTGATTGATAGGAGATGCATCAATTTCAAGGTTTGTGAATTTAAGTAAATTGTTGTCAGTGGTATCGTTTCTTAAAAAAATTATATCCTTAGAGCAAAAAGACAAATTGAGATAGGATATACATAAAGCAGCAATTTAGCACAAATATCCACTTACAATTGTGAAAAATATGTAGTTGGTAGTTTTTCAGAAAATTTGAGGAGCATTTTTAAAATTACTTATGCTTTTTAGAATGCTTAGCATTTCTGTTTTGAAAACAACTTGCCTTCATTTTCAAAATGTATGTGTAAAGCTGGCTCCGATGTCAGCACAAGCCACTTTCATAGAGTTGGGTCAGCTCCTGCTCAACAATCCTTCCACCAAAAAGAAACGGAGGACAAGATTAGGAGCTGAACTCTTTACATTTCAGACATTCACCCCCTTTCCCAAAGCACACTGGAACACTTCCATGTACAATCAAGACAGAAGCCTCGTTTGTCTTTTACTGAATTATTACGTCTTATTTTGGCCTTTTCCCTTTCTACATTGACCCTATCTCTCTGTGTCGTTCATTTACATTTCCTAAATTTGGAATGAACGCATGAGTAAACCTGGCACATAAAACAGAAAACAAGCAAAGAAATTGAAAATTTAAGCAGGGTATGGTGGGACATGCCTATGCTCCCTGCTGAGGAAGGAGGATGGGATGTTCAAGCCCAGACTGGGCAATTTAATGACTTAGCAAGACCCTACTTCAGAATAAAAAACAACTGGAGATGGAGCTCAGCCTGAAGGCCTTAGGTTCGATCCCTGATACTTCACAAACAAATAAACAAATAAACTGTCCTCTCATTTCTCCCACTGTTGCCTGCAGTTCCCCTCTCATTCCTCTCTGTATCTTAGATCACCTTTTAAATCTTCTCTCTACCTAGGATATTTCAGGTTTCTAAGATTTTTACACTAACTAAAAGTAGTTTGAAATTTGTTTAATTGCATGCAGTAACTGTTTTCAATTTGATTTAAAATACAACTGAATGTCAAGTAGGAAAAACAAAGCATCTTCACAAAACTTATCTGCCTTCACTTTAAAAGGTTTTTTTAAAGGTTGGGATGGAGGCCACTAGAAATAAATTCATCTTCGCAAGATAGCCACCAAAAACCAAAACAAAACAAAGCGAAAAACCAGAGTAACTGCCTTGATGAGCCCACCCTGGGTCTAATTTGGAAGCTTCCCTTCATGTCATGTTGGATTTGGAAAGACTGAATTCTCAGCGAACAGACCGGTCTGTCTCCTAGGCTTGATACCCAGGGTTCATGACTGCAATTCCTGGCACATTCATAAATATTCATACCTCGACTCATGATTTGCAAGCCAAATTTATTTGGCTTTTTTTCACCCCATCAATCTTATAATTAATAAGGGTGGTGCTCTTGTTTCACTTTCCTCCAAAAGAAAAGATAAATGAAGTAAAGAGTCATCCTGTAAATTTAAAGAGGAGTGCTTCTTGCTGATTAAAAGCTGATGCTATCACAGAGTGGCGGAGGGTGGGGTCGGCTGTTTCTCTCACTGGTCTTGGGGTGAGGGCTGGTGATGGGCAGAGAGAAGGGGAAGTGTTTCCAGATGTGCAGTGTGGCTACAGCGGCCGTGATCTGAAGAGCGTGGCCGTCTATGAAATACTGGAAAAGCCGCCGGAGAGAAGTCTGAGCTGTTCCATCAGCATGAGTTGGAGGGCAAATATGAAATTGCTCTTTTGCTTATTGTTTGACTACTTGGTCACTGGACACAGCTGGACAAAGGCTACAACATGACTCTGAACAGCCTGTGGGCTTCTGCTTAGAACTTTGGAGGTATTTTAGAAACTTTGTAAAAATTTAGTGATACTGTTTCTTTGAAGGGACTGCCTTCAGTTAGCATAAGAGAAACATTTCTGAATTTAATTGGAGGAGGTGGGGATTTAGCTCCGTGGTAGAATGTTTGTCTAGCAAACAGGAGGCCCTGGGTTCAGTCTTCACCAAATAATTGAAAAGCACAATAAAAAATGAATTGAAATGGAAAGACTCCGTCTCCACAGAAACATTAAAGGAGGCATCTATCACAACAGGATTTGGCAAATAAATCATGGGACTTGGTGTACATTGTCCACTCCCAGTGGATTTTCTAAGGCCGTTTACAGCAAAGAAGCAAAATCAAATTGAACACAATTTAGAGATAAAATTTTGCACTAAGTGATGTGAACCTATCAATCACCTAGGAACTTCTCCAATTTTACTCCCCTTGAACACTTGAAAAGTAAGGCCCACGGATAAGCTGCCAAGCGTAAGCAGCTACTTTGCTCTGCTGTGATGGGCGATTATCACCCCTTTTGAGTACATGATTTCATCTATATTAAAATCAAGAGACTTGGATAAACAAAAAAGTGGAAAAAGCTTCACCCTGAAGTCAGAAAAGCTTTAGTTTGTTTTAAGGGAGCTTACTTTACAGACACAACAATGTATTATCTTGTGAGTTGGTGAGTTTGTTTTAGGAGCTCTTCTCACCTGAGATACTTTTTTTTGAGGGGTAAAATGTTTATTTATTTATTTATTTATTTTTTAACAGACAGACAACCTTTTCACCTAAGATACTCTTAAGAACCATCTTATGTAGGAGGGCAGTTCAAGGGTAAGTCAGGCACCGGTAGCCCTTCTCCTTAATGCTTGCATATAAGCGTTTTGTTTTTGACAATATACTGTGTTCAGGCCAGTCCTCCTTTAAACGTGTCTAAGCACAGTTGAAAAAAAGATACATTTTATTCCTTAATTCGAGGTGAGTACAATTACACATTTGATTTACTACCAAAAAAAAGGCTTTCCTCTTCCTCTGCAGACCTTTACAAGAGGAGGTAACGAGGGGAAAGTGAAACCTGGTCTTGGGGCCGCTTGTGTCTCTCCAGACCTATCTCCAGACCCTGTGCTCCAGAGGTGAGCAAGGACCGCAGCCCCGAGACTGGCTGAGTGGGACCATCAGGTCATCTTTGCAAAGGGTTCTCAGCCACCGAGGTGAGTGTGGTTCTCTGTCCAGGTTTCCCCCAGGTTCTGGGTGGGATGGGAGGAAAAGCTTCTCTGCTCCTGTCCCAGGCTATTTTCCACCTTGCTTAGTGTAGGGGCTCTCGGAAAACTCGCTGTTACTTAAAAGTTCGCTTTCCTCCGCTCATCTACTGCTTCACAAAGGCTGAATCAGCCCACCTAGAGCTGGTAGGGCTTTTGGAGTCTTTGCTGTTGCTCTTCCAGGCCATGCAAGCCACCCAGCAGTACCTGCAGGCCTGCCCTCTGGAGGGACAGTGGAGACCCAGGGCAGGAGGTGAGGCGGTGGCAGTGTGGGGCAGACCCACAGTTACTGCTTCTCCCGGAGCCGATCTGCCCTCCAGGCCAGAGGCAGACCCTCCATGCTCTCACCAGAACCCCAGGTGCTGGAGTAGGGTGGGCCTAGCACTGCCCGCGGAAGCTCTCCTGTCTTTAAGGGGTGCAGGAGGCTGAGCACTTCAAGTGCCAGCCGACCTGGTTCTCCTGGCCCCGGAAAACTTCACCCCCCCCCCCCATGGCCTCCTTGAGGCTTATCTGGCAAAGATGGAAGGTGCGGATCTTACTCGGTTTCTCCAAATCCTGGGAATCCTTGTGGCCTGGGGATTGGATCTCTTCCTAATTCCCTTCCCAGAGAGTGGGAAGCGCAGAGAGGAGCCTCAGGGGAGGATGCGCCCTCCATGCCTTCCCCAAAGCCCCACCTCCCGCAGAGGTCACCCCAGACAAGGCTGGAGCTGAAAGGAGCCTCACTGCCTCTTCTGCAATTCCCTGCCTGGCAGCAACTGTGCTCTCCCTTAGCCAGAATGACCCCAGACGTGCAAATGGGCGTCTTTGCTTGTTAGGATCCTCTCTGTCTCTCTCTGTCTCCCCGCTCCTTTTTCCTCCCTAGTTCTAGTTGCAGAAGCGAGGAGCAATGGAATAAGAAGGGGTCGGGGTTCTGTGGGTGTTTGTGTGGACCGATGCCCAAGTCACCGTGTGTGTGTGTGTGTGTGTGTGTGTGTGTGTGTGTGTGTGTGTACGGGAAAGACAGGGACACTGAAGAAAGAAAAAGGGGAAGGGAAGGAGGAGAAGAATCAGAAGTAGAAACGGAGATCAAGTGGGTTTGTAAAACTCCAATCAGAAAGGGGAATAGACCCCTAAAGCTTGAAGTTCCTTTAACCCTCCCGGCGCTCCAAGACCTGGCCCCACGTGGGTGCGAGGCTGGCCGAGGGGTGCGCGGAGGTTCCGACACCAGACCTGGGCCCGGGGCAGCCAGCGCGCTCCCCGCTCGGCAGCGCCGCTGCCTTCCTCGAGGTGAGCGCGCAGGGCGTGCCTTCCGAAGACCGGGCTCCAACAGGGGAACAAATAAGTCGTGTTTATAGTTTTTATCTTTTTAAATCACAGCTGAGTAAGGTTTGTGTTTACCACGCAGTCAGAAGTGTTCGGGCAATCCAGATAAACATCGCTTGGGATGGTAATTTGTGCAGCAGGTAAACCGGGACTACCTTTGGCCCGCGACCTGGATTGGTTCCCTACTCTGACGGAAGTGAGCCTCCCAGTAGATCAGCACTGAGTACTCAGCCGCAACGTCTCAGACGTGCGGATTCCGTTCTTTTTCAAACAATGAACGAATGAATGCGCTCATATAGCCCAAGAACCTACTTCTGTGTGTGTTAGGAGAAATACTTGGGGCTTAATCACTCTAAAATACACAGACTAGCAAAATAGAAGAGGAGAAAGCTGAGATTACCTCGAGGAGAGGTGTGGAGGAAGAAGCGCAGAGAGAGCTGGAGGGAAAGCGAGAAAGTGGAAGGGGAAAGGGGGGCACCCGCGAGAAGGCGGGGCGGGACGCAGGCAAGAGGACAGGAGAGTTTCCCACGTGCGGGCCAGGGCTTTGAAGCCCTTGACCTGACTCTTCAACCCAGGTGCATCTCACAAAGCAGCTTCGGATCGCATTTCAGGAGGTCTCCTCGCCCCGCGTCCGCGGCCCCCCGGGACTTCATTCACTCCTGCCCTTTCGGCACAATGACTTTTCAACCTGGGAAAATAATTGCATTAGGGCAGATTACTTATAACCGATAGTTATCCGTCTTCTTCTGTTCGACAGAAGTCTATTAAAGTCAGCCCGGCCATTACCAGCTGAGCTCTAGAGCGCGCGTTCATTAAGAAAATTAAAATACTTTTGAACCTCGGGCAAAACCTGCTCAGATCGCGGGAGCGTGCGTCCAATCCCGATGTTCTCGTGAGCCCGATTTTCCCGCGAATCAGTCTCTGATTGTTTTAGATACCGTAGATCAGGGCGACAGGCCGGGCGCGCTGACAGTTACCGGCGGAGAGGCAGGCCTGAGCTCGGGGAGCCCCGCGGGTCTTCCGAGCCCCTCGCCCGCCGCCTCGCGCCCGGAGGCCTGCGCGGCACACCTGTGCGGGCGTGGCCCCGCCGGGAGCCTCTGGGG